CATTGTACGCCCTGTTAAAGAAAAATCAGACGTGGTGTTGGGATGCAAATTGTGATAACGCATTCAGAAAAATAAAAAATATTTTAATTAGCGACAAAGTGTTATGTCATTACGAGGCGGCGCTTCCGGTCGTGCTGTCGGTGGACAGTAGCGCGTACGGCGTAGGCGCAGTACTCGCACACGTCTTCCCTGACGGCTCAGAGCGTCCGATCAGCTGCGCCTCTAGGACGCTTTCGGACGCCGAAAAGAATTATAGTCAATTAGATAAAGAGGCGCTCGCTATTATGTACGGGGTGCAAAAACACCATCAATATTTATTCGGTAGGAAATTTACACTAAAAACGGATCACAAACCGTTGGTGTATATTTTTGGCCCTAAAGGCTGCATTCCACAGACTGCGGCGAGCAGGTTACAACGTTGGGCCGCCAAACTAGCCGCTTACGATTTTAAAATCGATTTTGTGAAATCAAAGTGCAACGGCAACGCCGACGCGTTGTCGCGCTTACCGTTAGAGGGACACGGCATTGACGGCGCATCGCCTGCGCCGGATAAACATTATTTACTGTACGTAGATGATACATTACCAGTTAATTTTAAAGAAATAGCGTTAGAAACTAGTAAAGATAATTTATTAAGTAGGATTTTCGGTTATATTATGTTTGGATGGCCGGGACAGTGTGCAGAGGACGAAAAGGTTTTTTATGTAAGGCGCGCAGATTTGTATATTGATCACGGCTGTATTTTGTATAAATATCGTTTAGTGATACCGGAAACCTTACAAAAACGAGTGTTGGTAGAAATTCATGATGGGCATTTAGGTATTGTAAAAATGAAGTCTATTGCTAGGAATTATATTTATTGGCCGGCGCTGGATAAAGACATTGAGTCTATCGGGAATAAGTGCGAGGCGTGTCGCAGCGTACGCGACGCCCCCCCGCGCGCCACTCTGCATCCCTGGGAGTTTCCCGCCGCGCCCTGGCAGCGGCTGCATGCTGACTTTGCCCAGTTGCACGGCAAATATTATATTATCGTAGTGGATGCTCATAGTAAGTGGCTCGAGGCGGAGGAAATACGTAGCACATCGGCATATCACACAATAAAGTTTTTTAGAAGTTTATTTGCGAGATTTGGCTTACCCGAAAAATTAGTTACGGATAACGGACCTCCGTTCCAAAGCGCAGAATTTAAGGAATTCTGTGATAGGAATATGATAAGGCACGTAACGTCTTCGCCCTATAGACCGCAAGGTAATGGTGCGGCAGAAAATTGTGTAAAAATGGTTAAGAAAACTATTAAGAAAGCCGTTATAGAAGGTAGGGACGTACACACTAGTTTATATCGTTTCCTAATTCAATATAGAAATTGCGAACATGCGACGACGGGAGTCGCGCCCGCGGTGGCGCTTCTCGGACATCGCTTACGAAACAGGC